CTTATTAAAGTAAAATTAATTCAACAACGCTGATAGCTCTTTCAATTAATAATGATCTTTGTACGTCACAATGATACAAATTGTCAAAAAAAGAAAAAAGAAAAAAAAGAAGATGAAACTTGTAGTATATTAATTTTAAAGTATACGCTAGAAAAGGTATTTTCTAACTTTTATAATCCTTTTTTAATAAAATTAAAGATTTCGAAATTTGAGTTACTTCACTTTTACACTCATCAGATATGAGGAGAAGTGTTGTTAAGACAAGTAATTGCTCCCTACATAAGACTTTCCATTGAATTTCAGTTCAATCCTGTTAAAAAAAAAAATCATCAGATGTGAATAATAAGAAAAACGAAGATTCACCATTTATTTGCGGCAGATGACCGATTGCCATTTAAGGCCAACTTTGTGTTGATAGTTCAAGAAATTGAGGAGCTTCCTTACTACTTCATTTAAGAAATAATAATTGTTAAGGATTTTAATTGCTGATCTTGACGGAAAAGTAGGTGAATGTAAACTTCATAATTGGAAGATGATTTTTCTATTAACTAAATTATTAGTATTACGTAGTTGTTATAGAAATTTAAGTTCCTATTATCAATCTTAATAATAAGATTTTTAATATTATAAAATTATAAAATATTTTAAAATGTTTAAAATTTAGATTAAATTGTCATCTGCATTAAAATTAAAGAAAATGTAACTTTTTAAAGAAACATTAAATTCTACTTACTTGAACTTTGATTATTTACAACATGCATGTTAATTAGGAAAAATTGCATCTTGTTCAATTTTGGTAAAGATGACAATTTGCTCCAAACATTTTAGAGGATTTATAATTTTATAATATTAAAAATCTTATTATTAAGATTGGTTATAAGAGTTCAAACCTTCATGACAACCAAATATTAGAATTGTTTTTTTTTTTTTCCTTCATATTAGATTAAAAACTTTCTTATTCCATTATATATATTTTTGGCTAGATTCTTATACCATTATATAAACTAGATTTTTCCAGAAATGTTCATGGTTCATTAATGGGTGAATTTATTGGGTAGTCATCCAACTTTATCAAAATCAACATTTTGGTTATTCAACTCATAACTCTAACAAAATAAATAGTCGCGTAGGATGTGACATGGCATTAACTAATGATGTGGCACTCATTGGCGAAACTAAAGGGTTGAAACCAAACAGTAGTCTAAAATTTTGGCTAGAGCAAAGCTAAGGATAGTCGCCCTTCGCCCTTCGCCACTCGCTCCGTCACTCTCCCCATCGTGTTGCCACGTAACACCAGTATCAGATCCCTAAACTGGAAACTAATTTCATCCGGTGGCTTACGAACTTTTTCCCTTTCTAATTTTAGAATGGATTTAAAGGGTTTTCAAAAGAACATCCTTAAATGGAATCTGCTCCCCTCCTCCGGTCCCCAATTTCTTCCTTTGAGACCAAGAACGGATTGCAGCTTTCTTTAACCCTTCTCTATTTCATGCACCAGAAAAACATATATATGCGTTGAAAGATGACAAAACTCTATGGAAGAAAGCCATGGTTGAAGGGAAATATGATCGATTGAGGACTCAATTGTGGATGGAAGGCAAAATTCTGCAAAAATCAAAGGGATTTGGGGAAAATTAAAGGTAAATTCTGTTTCAATTGTAGGCAGGTAAAGCTTTCTTGTTCGCTAAATTTTTTGTTTTCAATTTCAGGGATTCAATGCACTTTACTTGTTCTATTCGTTTCTTGTTCCTGCTATATCACTGGAATCCCTGAACTGTAATTCTTATATCAATCCGATCACTTTGAATCGATTTTCCTGTTTTCTGAATGTTGTATTGTGTTTTTGTTTCCGATCCCAATGATTCGATTCATTCTGCCTGTTCGTGTTTGGTTTTGAAACTCGTTTCTAAGATTTCTGGCATTTTGTAGTATTCGCACCTTAAATTTTAACCGTAAGAATATATAGAATCTTGCAACTGCTTTCGATTTCCATGGTTCCATGCATTTTTACTTCTAGGTGTTGTGATTTCAAACTTGTCCCATTTTGTAGAATTCATAACTTAAATTCACATAGAAGCGTCCAATTGTGGTAGTTATTAATTTGGTTGTAGGGTTAAAGGTTGCAGTAGAGTGGTCATGGATTGGCTCAGTGCTTCTGCACGTCCTATGATAGTTTCTTATCTTGATCATACAATGGTAGGTTTCATAATTTCTTGCTTCACTCCAGAGTGATGTCATGCTTGTACTGCTGTTAGTTACTTTAATTCCACATGGTGCTCTTTCTGCAGGTTGATTATCATGATGTTGAGAATGTATCCCTATTCTGCATGCTTTATATATCATGCCCATGTGAAAATAAAAAGTCCTTGGTAGTTTGGAGTGTTGGCTGATGAATTAACTTGAGTATAGGTATAGATAGAACATAGAAGTATATAGCTTTTATTGTGAAAATTAGGAAAGCAAATTTATCCTAAAATAATAAACTGGTAGGTGAAGAAAACTTTTTAGCTTAAATGCTTGACCAAAATGTACTTTATATAGCTGTACCTAGAACCACCATTTTAATTTTTCTTTTTTCAGGATCCATCTGCTGTAACTGTCCGTCCTAGTGGTGTTGAGAAACCTCTACATGAACGCATACATGAATTGAAAGGGTGGTATGGAGACAAGCAGGGAAAAAGGTTTCGGGTTTGGGTGGATTGTGTATTATCTACACAGACTGGTTCAAGCACATGGCTGGTGAATTTTCATAAAGTGGGTGCAGTGTGGTAAGATTTATTTATATGTTCTTCTATATCTGCTCAATCTTTGCGTCTTTTCAATTTAAACTAGATGTTATATCTGTGCTAATTTATTTACCTTTCTTGCATTCATCTCTTTGTGGATATGGTAGTATATGTCTCTCCAACTTGGAAGACCAGTAATAGGAATTTGCATGTGAACATAATTGCCTTTGAGCCCCCTTGATTTCCATTTTAGTATATTTATATAGAGACCAATCCATGGGTGGTTCTTAATTTGATAAATGCTGCTTTAGAACAAAAGATTGTTTTAAACCCTGTCAAAAGCTTGGATGTCATGGCATTTCAAGAATCCCAAGGTTTAACTTGTCATTCAAATGCTTCATTCTACATATTTTCCTTAGGCAAAAAAAAAATCTCAAATTTAAATATTAGATATCACTTGTAATATAAGTATACAGCAGAGACTGATTACAAGGTAACTCATTCTTAGGGCTGTTACTAACAGTTAGCTTTTCAACTGATATTCTGTGTAGGTGATGTGCGGTGCTGTTGTGCTAACTTTTTGAAATGATTTGCTTAGATGATTGACTTGTGGACTTCAAGAGGGTGATGGTTCACATGGGTTCACCCGGATACGTGTACAACAGGCGTGGCTATAAGGATAAAAAATAAAAGATCATTCAGCCTGGCTGTTCTATATTAATCATATGTTTTATTCAGTTGAATTCAAAAATATATATATGAATCAAATCCCAAAGTCGTGTTTGGGTTGAAGGTATACTCAAGTTCAATTATGATTTACCACCAAAGAGTCCATCCAGCACAGCTAATAACTTGAATTTGAAAAGGTATCACAAAGATAAAAGCAAGCTTTTCTAGCTTTTGGGGATTCATGGATCAAAAACCAATTTGCGTATATAACACATTCAACTGGTATTCTTATCTCTATGCAATTAAATGGAAAATAATAAAACTCAAAAATAAGTCAAGCAACTAACAAAAATAAAAATTATCACATTTACAAAATCAAGACACTAGATTTATTAATGTGATAATTCCTTTATAGAAAAAACCCCGTAATCTAATCCCGTAAAACACACACACTTTAAAAATAGCATTATTACAAAGTTTCCTCTACTTTAGGAAACACTAGAGGTTGTACACAACAATAAGTCATCAAGAATAAAATTGTTGGATCACTAATGTATTAATCATCACCAAATAAAGCTAGAAGTCAAAATCTCCAATCAAATTGGGAATCTCATAAAGTGTGCTGATTGTGTACCGAGAGGAATTGGAGACCAAATCACAATTGACATGGAGCAGAACCATGACTCCTCTACTAACCTTCCTGCTGCTGTTGCAACGCACTCTGCACTGTTTTTGCAATGTTGATCAAAACCAGCCACCAGCTGTTATTCAAAGCTCCACTGACTTGTTACATCCAAAGTCCCAGCTCCATGCAGTTCATGTATGCGTTCATGAAGAGTTTTCTTAACACTAGATGGATGGATAGATACAACACAAGAATCCTGAAGAAATAAGAAACTAAAATGGTTAGTTAACATAATTGAGTATGGCATAAATTAGCCTAATAATAAGTTCTCCCGCAACTAACGACTTGATTTAAAATTTTAAAATTTGCGCATGTTAAAGGATTAAAATATGACAATGCACCTCGAAATGATTTGTGCATAATGCTGCCTCGAAGCTTTACACCATCCACCTTTATATGTATCCTCGAATTGTCCTTGATTTAGGGAATTGATCAAGGGAAGTTACTAGAGAAACTCAAAGAAAATCCATGTCCTGCAAAAATGAATTAAAGCTTAGCATTATCTTGATGAAATGATAGAGAATCACTCTGAACAACCGAGGGACGAGAAAGTGAACCCTGCCTTACCAGAGAGGGCATTCTTTGGAGGGTAGAAGATTATAGTTGCAAGCCAACAACTACGACAAATTTGTGAACACCACCATTTTTCATCAATTTGTTAGATCTTGAAGCTGCTTTCCAAGTCAGCCCATTCTTAGGTAAAGCAGCAGTGTTTGTGCTGCAATCTTGGATGTGACTTAGGATGAATACAGAGGGAACACAGTACAGAGTTGGATCATTCATTTCTGACGCATCATCCTGGAAGCATCATCTCTCATATGAAAGGCAACATTAATGTCAAAGCATCTAGGACCTACTTGTTGAAGAAATACCTTGCCTAAAAAGGGAGGCTTGAACTTGGAGTCTTGGAATCTTAGATCATCCTTTTAATTAATCCTATAGTTTAATCAGATGCTATAAGATTTAAAACATGAACTAAGTTGGACGTTGCACGGTAGTAAGGAAGCAATCACTATAATTATGGGAAATGTGAGATGAATAAGAAGATGGGAATGGAGGCAAGCTAGGGAACTCATGTGGGAGACTAACTTCTTGATATCTACCTGATCTCCATGCATTGGAATCAAAATTAAGAAAAATGGTGACACAAATAGCTGGTAAAACAAATACTGGACAACAAAAATCAATTAGAATAGAAATGAGCAAGCACATGACATTTTTTGTATCAGCAAATGAAATATTAAACAGGGTACAAGCAGTACCCCTACAATTTAGAGTATGCTCATAACTTCTGGCACATAAAGGGAAAAAGGGAGTCACAAAACAAAGGGGTCCTACATAGGCCTAACAAGATTTTGCTTTGTGCTCTGCACAAGCAACTGGGAACATGAAAAAAAGGATGGGAAATTAGAAAAATTAAAGGCTAGACTGAAATTTGAGAAAATAATTCATTTAGAGTTTTAAGAAAACAAAAAGTATCAATTGTAACGTAGAAAGGAAAGATGGATAAGTGAATTGCTGAAATGAAATCAAAGTAAAATAATAACACAAAGCTATAGAAATCTATAAATTCTGGAAAAAAAAAATTTTAATTGCAGAATATATGACAAAAATTTAGACAGTCTTTAATGCAACCAATATGTATTAATCAAGAGATGGAAGGAACGGGAAATAATAATTTAATTCTAAGGCAACTAACATCACAGATGGTAGAGGAATAGACTAGTATATCATCATCAAAATGTATAACTTTGCTTAAGTAAAATGAAGCATAGAGATAGCCTAACATATCAGTTTTGATTCCTTGTCCTAAACAATAAAAATAGCAAACCAAGTAGGCATCACAATACAATTTTGAAGAGGTAGTTTAGATACTTACAGGGTAAGTTATGCTTTCCTGAATAAAAAACTTGTAAAACTGCAGCTTGATTTAGTCAAATTAAAAGCTTGCTTAATTCAACAAAGGTCATCCACATTCCAGTTCTAGCTTACAGAAAAACCTCATTTCAACATCAGCAACTCCTTGTTTCAAAAATCTTCCCAATTCTTCAGAATGGAAAACATTAGCTCCTACAGTAATTGAATTTAAAATTGAAATTGGTTGGATTGCCTAAGAACATCATTTTGCAAGCAGCGAGCTCCTTGGTGGTTGTGAATTTCCATAATGCCAAGGCCAACCACTCATCCCCTTTCAAAATAATCTGAAAGCGTAAGCCATTTTTGAGGCAACTGAATGCATGCATGTTTTCAGAGGAAAATAAATTTATAGTAGATAATAAATAGTAGATAATAATATAAAGTTGATTAATCCAGGGAATGAATGAAGTACCAGTAACATTGAGGAGTGGCTTGGCTTTGTTTAACTCAACAATTGGTTGTAGCTAGCTCACAACTAATAATCCTGCACAAAAAAGATGTGCAACACATATATATAAGAAAAGGCAGCAGAAGTCAAAGAAAAGTGTTATCTATCATAATTTTTCTAAATTTTCATATGAAAAGCATAAAATGGTGATGCCTATTTCAGTTCACACCAAGCTCTTATTACCTCATACACATCCTCATATATCCAAACGTTTGGGATGCTCCATGTGAGAGTCCAGTAGTCTCCTTTCTCCTCAAAACGCTGTCGTTTTAGATGCGGACACCTGCTGATCTGCAGTCGCCCAAGCGAAGGAGGGAAGGCTTCCCTCGGCAAAGATTGTAGCCTCGGGCAGTTATGTATCCATAACTCTTGAAGGGAGCTTAGGTTTTGGAAGAGCCCCCCAGGTATGGATTCCAAATTTTCTTCAGACTCCATCTCAAGGCAGGTTAAAGAAGAAGGCAGCACAATATCCAGAGGGGAATTCTGCGCAATTGTCAACCGTTGAAGAGACATCAAAGCCCCACCTGAGACTGTTAGATGCTTAAGCGATGTGAGCTGGTACATTGTATTCGGCAGCCGCTTGAGATTCTTACACCACAATCGAAGCTCGGTTAAGTTTGGGGGCAAACCCCCATCTGGAATGAACTCGATGCCGCAACACTTTTGCATCCATAGAATTTGAAGAGATTTCAGCTGGTACATCGTATTTGGGAGGGATTTGAAATTCTGACACGATCCTATTTTCAGATCCTTCAAATTGGGTGTGCATAATCCCAACTCTTCTGGTAAGGACCCTAAAGCTTCACAGTGATAAATAGATAATTCAATGAGATTGGTGATGCAAGCAAGGGAGGGTAAACTTTTCAATATTTTACAGCTGTAAATATTAATAGATTGGAGTCCTGTACAATGCTGCAGCATCCTGTCTGGAAATGATTCCAACCAGTCGCAGGATCTAACTTCAAATTTCTTGAGAAAAGCCGGTGGCTGATGACAATCCTCAGAAGAATACAAGCATGGAACATTCCTTATTTCCAAATGTAGATTGCTATTATTATTGTTACCATCGACATCCGGTAGAGACTCAAGACTTCTACAACCTTCTATTATCAAGTATTTAAGCGGGATGGGTAATTTGCCTCTTGGAAAAGACTTCAGAGAATTACAACCACTAATTTTCAACTTTTCCAGTCTTGACATCAACATACTACTGTTGCTGCTACTACTGTCATCCATCATAATTGCATTAGGTAATGACTCCAAAGCTCTACATCCCCAAAGGCTAAGATGCTTAAGATTGAAAGGCAAGAGGTTTTGTTCTATTTCTGCCCCTTCCTCCCACAGACAAGTAAGATCCTCGCAATCTTCAATAGACAGAGTCTCAAGTGTTGTCAAAGACTGTATAAAACTCTTTGGCAAGCAAGTCAGTTCTGAAATTTGCTGAATTCTAAATTTAGTGAGTGAAGTAAGATCACCCATACTCTTCAAAAACATTGCATTGCACCCTATAACAGTCAACTCTTTAAGTGAAGAAAAGTTGGTAGGTAGCATTGCATTGCACCACTCAACAGTCAACTCTTTAAGTGAAGAAAGGTTGCTAGGTAATTGGCCTAACTTAGGACAATCTTGAATCACAAGCCTATGAAGACAAGGGAATTCACCTTCACTTCCAGTTGGAGAAGTCCATTCCTTCCAATTTAACATGTGTTCAAACTTCAATTTCTCTAGTGATCGAAAAGAGTCATGCTGCCCATAAAACTCAGGACCCACTGCTTTTATTGCCGTCATGCTTTTAATAATCAATTTTTTGAGAACAGGTAGTAGGCCAAAGGATGGTAACAAAGTGCATCTCTGACAATAGCTGAGCTCCATGGATGATAACTTCAAAAATAATGATGGATCACAAACCCATTTTGGGAAACTCTTGCCACCATAGTGAGAAATTTTGAGACTTTTCAAATTTGAATGAGGTTTTAATTGGCTGAGTACTGATTCATGTCGATCGTTATCAAGAACAATCCATCCCCACTTGAAGACTAACTCTTCCAAACCATGGATCTTGTCTAGATTGGCTTCCCCAACATCTTGAACGTGCAAAACATTTTCCAGATCTAGAATAGATAGTGTTCCTCGAAGTTGTGATAAGTTCTTCAAAGCAGATAATCTCATCATCATTCCACTTGCCTTTCCCACGATAAATTTGGACAATATTACAAGATTTTTAAGATCGCCTATTCCTGATGGCATCTCCTTTAAAGATGGCGTATCAGTGATATCAAGATGATGGAGATCAATTAGATTTCCAATTGTTGTAGGCAACTCAGAAAGCTCTTCACAACCAAATAATAATAATGTTTGTAAGAAAAGAAGAGAATCCATTGATTTAGGTAGACATTTGATTTTTGTACAAGACAAATCAATGTACCGAATATGTTTCAACTTTTCAAAAGAACCTGGTAGCTTACTTATTTGATAGCTGCGAAGAGATAGCACTCTTAAGCGATTTAAAGTTGGTAGGAAATGATGCAAGATTTTGTTAGATAGAAAGGAGATCTTTCGATTGTCATTCAGTGCTCTTAGTGGCAAGAATGTTCTAAAATGCTTCAATTCATCCAAGACTCTGAATCTTTCTGAGAGTTCAAAGAAGTGTGGAGTGAATGACAAATGACGAGCTTTCTCTAATTTTTCATCATCCATGCTACTTCCAAGATTGCAATACATTTTTCCAGCAACATTTATAGCTAAATCATTTATGAGGTCATGCATCACAAACCGTGATTCAACTCTGCTTGACGATTGAAAGAGTGATCTAGATAACAACTCTTGGAAATATTGGTGACCAATGTCCTCTTCCATTTGCTTCTTTCCATGTGACTCTCGCTGTAATAGGCCCTCAGCCATCCATAATTGGATCAACTCCATTTCGTCAAATTCATAGTCTTTAGGGAACAAAGCACAATAAGCAAAGCATGGCTTCAAGTAAGAAGGAAGATGATTATAGCTCAATCTTAGAGCAGGAAGAATTTCACTTCTATTTTCTGATATATGCCATATCTCATTGTTTAGTATGGATTCCCATTCAACAGGATGTGGCTTCCCACGCAAGAGGCCACTAAGGGTTGTTATTGCCAATGGCAATCCTTTGCACTTTCTAACAAGTTCCTCACCAATATCTTTTAAATGTGGGTGCCCATCAAAGTTGTTTGCTCTCAATGCATGTTGTGTAAATAATGACAAACATGCATCATCTTCTAGCAGTTTTAAACAATAAATTCCATCATCTTTTCCCATTTTCTTACCAACTTCCTCGCTTCGAGTTGTGACAATTATTTTACTTCCAGGTGCTCCTGACATCAAAGGTTTCTTCAAGACACTCCACTGCTTACACTGCTCATCCCAAACATCATCTAATACAAGAAAAAACTTGCGCCCGGATAACTTGCTATCCAATTTCTCTTGAAGTAAAGAAAAATTTTCAAAATCATACTTTTCCTCAGTTACATATTCTAAAATGTTTCTTGTTATTCGAGGAATATCAGACTCATCAGAAACACAAACCCATGCCTTCAAGTCAAACTTGCCTTCCAATCTTTTGTCATTGTAGATGAACCGAGCAAGAGTTGTCTTGCCTAGTCCACCCATTCCGACAATGGGAATAACAAAGTCTTCTTCAAGACTACCTCCATCTTCCAGCAACCTCTGGATAATAGTATCTCTATCACTACCTCGCCCCCACACCTTATCTTTAAGAAGAGCAGACTCAAGTAGTCTTTCAGTAGCTACTTTGCGAGACTTATCTTCAACTTTCATGGTAAAATTGAAACAGCCCAAAGTATCCATCTCCTTTTCAATACGTTGTAATCTAACATTCAGATGATTCACCATGGAATTGATCTCTTGATTGGGCTTGGCCTTAGATCTAAATAAATTCTTGGGATTGGATTTGCCTTTCTGCCCCTTGTTGGTGTCGACTTTAGATTTTGCATCAATCACAAACTCTTCAAGTATGTCCTCCATATCATAAGCCAAGTCCTTAAGATCATCAAGATGTAACTTCATGAACTGGTTGGTAACTTGATTTTCTTCTGCATGTTGAAGTACAGCAGTGATTTTGGGCAATAAAATCTTCCAATGTTCCATCTCGGGATGTACTTCCTCATCTGAATTCCGTAGCTGATCACTTAGATAATCTTTCAACTTTTCTGATAGCATGTCATATATAGTAGATAAAAGAGAACTTCCAATAAAGGATAAAATATCCATTGGATGAAACAGGTTTCCTGCAAAAGAGAGACGAATGGATTGACATACATGTATGTAGTATGATTTATTGAATAGACACGTACGTTAGACTATCGTTAAATTAGTCTTTTATCCTAACGAGTAGATTTAATTACTTGCGCTTGTTGATATTGAAATGGCAAGATAAATCTAAGTATTATAATGTTATGTTTGGTTAAATTGAGAATTAAGAAGGGCTTTCATATACTATAAGAATAAAATATGAAGGCAAGAATTTCAAATTTCCTTCTTAAATATGAGTTTTTTTTTTTAAATTTTTCATCCATGAGAGATTATAGTTTGATTAGAGAAAATTTGAGGATTTTAAAAAGGAGGCATTTTAAGAAAAAGCATATAGTCTGGTATGTGTAGAATTACTTAAAAATACTTTAATTTAGACCCATGGAAGGTCCTTTTAATCAGAAAACATACACTATAAATTAAGTTTGATTCAGACCTTGAAAGAATTGAAGAAGTGAAGATTAATTAGAAAGTGTATATATATATATATATACACATACCTTAATTAGCTAGATTGTAGCTGCTTTTTCTTTCTCAATGATCGATGCTCAAAGTTAAAAAGTTGTTGGGTTTTGCATAAAGACTAATTAATTAAGTTTAATTTGATGAAATATCCAAAAATTCTGAACCAAGCAAACGAAATATTAGATTGAAAGAAACAATTAGAATAATAGTAGAAAAGAAAATGTAATCATTATTATATTAGTTAAAGATAACTTAATTACAAACAATTAGCTGCTCTTATGAAATAAAAAACAGTCAATAATTAAAATGTTTTTAAATAAAAATAAAGTAAGAATCTACTTATATATAATTTTTACACATTATATTTATATAAAATTTTAATAATTTATTTATCAATTTTTAATAATTGACATTTGTTCACATTTATTAAAGATAATTATTTTTTTATCAAAAAAATATAATAAATTTTAACAATAAAAAATATAGAGATAAATTATCAAAATTTTTTATAAATGTGATGTGTAAGATTTATACGTGAATATATCAATTTCATAAAAATATAATTAAACAATACTAATTAAATCACTTAATATTATATCTCTTATTTGTTTAATATACTGGTATACGTAGTGATTATCCAACACAAAAATGAAGGAAAAAAACCATATACACACAAAGAAGCAACGATCTAAAGTTACATATACATATATACATCAAAAGATCGCAAAAAGCTAAAGAAAACATATAGTAAAATGAATTTTGAGCAAAACTAATTAATGAAGCTATATCTATAGCGGGGGATCAAGAAGAAAAGTACCTCTTGGCAACGCTCAAAGCTGAAGGCGGATGGAGAAATTTGCTGGAAATTAACTACAGAGATGGAAGAGTACGTAACACAAGAAGAGGATGTCAAATAACGATCTGAAAAATATATATCTGAAAAAGCCAAAAAGAGATGATATGCAGTCTCTTACCTCCTGGTTTTTTCCATCTAATTTCGTGAGTTCTTTTCCCTTGGTCATAGATTTTTTAATTTCATGGTACCTATAAAATTGACTTGATTTTCTTCAATAGGGTTATGATGGTCATTACATAGACAAAATATAAGAGTACAATAAATTCGTTGATTCCATCAAAACGCGGTTTGCTTTATTTAATTTTATTTAAATATCAATAATATCAATAGAGGGATGCAGATCTTGGCTCCATTTTTTTCC